TAAGGATTGCTTAATCAGAACACAGGCCAATTCTCCAATGGATTAAGGAGAGACATTCTCATGTTTTCCACCGTACTGGCAAATTCTTGTTGAACAGTGAAGTTTAGGGATACTTCCTTTTGGTGTGCCAATAAAACAAGGCCTTCTGCAACTTAACTGCTTTTTTGTCTGAACCACAAGTTAACATAATAACCAGTTATTTGAAGCTGGTAGAAGGTCTCGATTAATGGTTCTTGCTCTTATTTGATAGTGTGGTACCTTTAATTTTATTTTTTTCTTCTCAGATGATTTACTTGCTTATTTACACTTAAAGTTTGTTTTAAGTGTGTACCTATTTTAATCCACTTTGCAGTTCACCCAATAGAGAATGAGCTGAAAGACCCCACCCAGATGAAGTTAATAGTCCGGACATCTATCACATTGTGTTCATCTGTCTATCTTGCAACCAGTTTCTTTGGATTTCTTCTGTTTGGGGATCACACGCTGGATGATGTGCTTGCCAATTTTGATGGTGATCTTGGCATCCCATATGGATCATTGCTTAATGATGTTGTGAGAGTGAGCTATGGTATCCATCTGATGCTTGTATTCCCGCTTGTATTCTTTTCCCTTCGCCTTAACCTTGATGGCCTTCTCTACCCATATGCTATTCCTATTGCCTTTGACAACCGGAGATTCTTCTCAGTTACAACAGCTCTCATGGGTTTCATTTTTCTGGGAGCAAATTTTGTGCCTAGTATCTGGATGCTTTCCAGTTTACTGGTGCCACAGCTACGGTCGCTGTGGGTTTCATTTTTCCAGCTGCCATCACGCTTAGGTGAGTAAGAGTGATGCAACTTTGTAGACTTGCAGCATCATACACAGAAGTATTACATTTGAAGTACATCAAACATGCATGCGAGGTTGCCCCTTAGGTCAAAATCTTCTCACTTTTTGCAATGAATTTTCTTGTTGCCATGCAGGGACACTTACGGAATCGCAACAAAGAATGACCAGCTAGTTTCATGGATAATGATATTTTTTGCTGTGTCGTCGAGCACTGTGGCTATATCCAGTGACATTTACAGCATTTACAATGGCAAAGGAGTTAAAAGTTAAATTTTACAAGGAATACTTGTTTAATGGCTCGGTTATCATACAACTCATTTTTGCCCCAGTAATGCATATTTGATTGACAGAGATACTCAACTGCAGTTGAACCAATGCTCCAGCGCCCCTATCGATTTCAACAAACAACTTTGAATCTTCTACGGGTCGAGTGAGTCTGAGTACACTAGCCTGGCAGTTTTATTTCAACTTCTTTTGTTCCCCCTTCCCTTTAGGAAGTTAGGATCTTGGGTGAATTTTGGAAATGAACAAAAGAATTTAACTTCTGAATGTGAATATTTAACAAATTATGATGCTGATGGTGACTGCAATTGCTAATTCTGGTAACCAGTTTTGGGGTTTTTTTTTTTGAGTAATCCTATTTGAATATAAAAATCTAACTTAATTTGCTGACGTACGTTAGTTGGTTCATTTGTTACTATTACTTATGCAAATAATAAAGTAAATTGAAATAATATATAAAAAAGTTTTACCAATTTCTTATTTTAATTAGTTGAAAAGAGTATAAAGGATGTCTTTAATGCACGAGGCCTCCGCCGACGGCGGAGGCCTCGTGCATTAAAGACATCCTTTATACTCTTTTCAACTAATTAAAATAAGAAATTGGTAAAACTTTTTTATATATTATTTCAATTTACTTTATTATTTGCATAAGTAATAGTAACAAATGAACCAACTAACGTACGTCAGCAAATTAAGTTAGATTTTTATATTCAAATAGGATTACTCAAAAAAAAAACCCCAAAACTGGTTACCAGAATTAGCAATTGCAGTCACCATCAGCATCATAATTTGTTAAATATTCACATTCAGAAGTTAAATTCTTTTGTTCATTTCCAAAATTCACCCAAGATCCTAACTTCCTAAAGGGAAGGGGGAACAAAAGAAGTTGAAATAAAACTGCCAGGCTAGTGTACTCAGACTCACTCGACCCGTAGAAGATTCAAAGTTGTTTGTTGAAATCGATAGGGGCGCTGGAGCATTGGTTCAACTGCAGTTGAGTATCTCTGTCAATCAAATATGCATTACTGGGGCAAAATTGAGTTGTATGATAACCGAGCCATTAAACAAGTATTCCTTGTAAAATTTAACTTTTAACTCCTTTGCCATTGTAAATGCTGTAAATGTCACTGGATATAGCCACAGTGCTCGACGACACAGCAAAAAATATCATTATCCATGAAACTAGCTGGTCATTCTTTGTTGCGATTCCGTAAGTGTCCCTGCATGGCAACAAGAAAATTCATTGCAAAAAGTGAGAAGATTTTGACCTAAGGGGCAACCTCGCATGCATGTTTGATGTACTTCAAATGTAATACTTCTGTGTATGATGCTGCAAGTCTACAAAGTTGCATCACTCTTACTCACCTAAGCGTGATGGCAGCTGGAAAAATGAAACCCACAGCGACCGTAGCTGTGGCACCAGTAAACTGGAAAGCATCCCAGATACTAGGCACAAAATTTGCTCCCAGAAAAATGAAACCCATGAGAGCTGTTGTAACTGAGAAGAATCTCCGGTTGTCAAAGGCAATAGGAATAGCATATGGGTAGAGAAGGCCATCAAGGTTAAGGCGAAGGGAAAAGAATACAAGCGGGAATACAAGCATCAGATGGATACCATAGCTCACTCTCACAACATCATTAAGCAATGATCCATATGGGATGCCAAGATCACCATCAAAATTGGCAAGCACATCATCCAGCGTGTGATCCCCAAACAGAAGAAATCCAAAGAAACTGGTTGCAAGATAGACAGATGAACACAATGTGATAGATGTCCGGACTATTAACTTCATCTGGGTGGGGTCTTTCAGCTCATTCTCTATTGGGTGAACTGCAAAGTGGATTAAAATAGGTACACACTTAAAACAAACTTTAAGTGTAAATAAGCAAGTAAATCATCTGAGAAGAAAAAAATAAAATTAAAGGTACCACACTATCAAATAAGAGCAAGAACCATTAATCGAGACCTTCTACCAGCTTCAAATAACTGGTTATTATGTTAACTTGTGGTTCAGACAAAAAGCAGTTAAGTTGCAGAAGGCCTTGTTTTATTGGCACACCAAAAGGAAGTATCCCTAAACTTCACTGTTCAACAAGAATTTGCCAGTACGGTGGAAAACATGAGAATGTCTCTCCTTAATCCATTGGAGAATTGGCCTGTGTTCTGATTAAGCAATCC